TATACAGTTTACATTGCCTTCTAGATATCTAACTGATATTAAATAGTCACTTTGTTACGTAAAGAAAAAGTGACGAATTCATAATTAACAGCTTTTGATTACTGTGCGTGTAATGTGTCACTGGTCGTGCCCTCACCTCCCACGATAACCCCTGCGCATATGAAGCTTATTGTTATACAGTCATAAAACACTGGGCTACGTACATGCCTGCAATCAATTTCTTAGACTTGTCACGAGGTTTTAGTTGTGTGTGTTGGCGAATCATGATGGAGGATGTTTTTGGATACCCCGTCTACGTTCGGAACGGAGCGTATGTTAGAATGATGCTCCACTTTACAAGTCTTGTCTAAACGTGCCGTGCGATAACCGTAGTATCTTCAGCGTAATATGAGCGGGGAAAGTGCGGGCTCAGGAGGACCGGCAGTTTGTTAGGGTGGTGCCAAGCAAAACTTGGTGCCTCGGGGCCTCCGGTCCGTCTGCGCACTAATTTTCGAAACGCGGTTTGCCATGCCACATTTGCAAAAACGCATGGGCACATACTGGAACCACGCTAAACACGGCGAACAGGTTTTTAAATCAGCACTTATCTCTCTTTACATAGGAGCCGTGCTCCCGCCAAGTGCTTGCGATAAATCGAAATGCTGAGCACTTGTTTGACCGCTGGATTAACGCCAACAGAAATTGCTTACGCGCCAAAGATATTTATTTTGGGCCCTGTAATATTTTGTTTTTGGTATTTTTTAATCGCCAGCAGTAGGTTTTGCGTCCACATTTGGCGACCAGCGCGACGGCTGTGTCGAGCACTGCCGTTTCCCAAGATGTTAAGTATACGAAGTGTTGTAGCGTATTAGGTCAAGTAGGGGCCCGAGTTATAGAGCAGAATGAAAATATGATGAGAGTCAAGATCAAGCGTCAATGTCAAATAAAGTTGCAGTGACCTGATCAGTTTCGGTACGCCCGACACCACATTCTTCCCCAAGATGTGTTAAGTATACAAGTTTGGGCCGCGCTAGTTAATTAGGGGCCGGTTATAGAGCAGCAAGCGAATATGCATCAA